GCACCCTGGCCGGCGGCAGGCGCCCCTCGCCTGAAGGTGACACACTGCGGTCGTGGCACCTACATCTGCACGCAGCCTCGGCGGGCGGCCTGGGATGGGCGCACGTCTACCACGGGGCGTGGGGTCGGTTTGATTTTAAAATAGACGTTGGCGTCCTAGTACCTTGGCTACTAGTTCTTTACATTATGCTTTTACTGATTTCAGAGAGGAAGGGAGAGAGAGAGAGAGAGAAACATCATTGATGAGAGAATCATGGATATCATGGATCGGCTGCCTCCTGCACGCCCCACACTGGGGATCGAGCCTGTAACCCGGGCATGTGCCCTGACTGGGATTCGAACCCTGACCTGGTTCATAGGTCCACACTCTAACCATTTAGCCACACCAGCTGGGGCAAAATATGATACGTACTTAACATGTAGCACAGTGGTTCTCAACCTTCTGGCCCTTTCAATACAGTTCCTCATGTTGTGACCCAACCATAAAATTATTTTCGTTGCTACTTCATAACTGTAATGTTGCTACTGTTATGAATCGTCATGTAAATATCTCAGATGCAGGATGGTCTTAGGCGACCCCTGTGAAAGGGTCGTTCGACCACCAAAGGGGTCGCGACCCACAGGTTGAGAACCGCTGATGTAGTAGAATAATGTTAGTACTAGAAATACACGGCATCTCAGGATGAGAAAAGTAGTTATAAGCTGTTGCTTTTTATTTTTATTTTGTTTTTTGTTAATTCTCGCCCGAGGGTTTCCCATTGATTTTCAGAGAGAGAGGAAGGGAGGAGGAGAGACAGAGAGACACACTGGTTGGTGGCCTCCGGCACCCGCCCCGACCAGGGCCAGGGTCGAGCCTGCCACCGAGGTGCGTGCCCTGGATGGAATCAAGCCGGGACCCTCAGTCCTCCGGCCGATGCGCTGTCCTGGGGCATAAACTGCTACTTTAAACGTTTTGGAATCTTAGTCACATAAGCCAGGAGCTGCACAGACTTATTTCCTGTGAAACGCAGCCTGGAAGACGCTCGTGGGAACTGGCCGTGCAGTTCCTGGTGCGAGTCCGTCTGTTGTTTTCCCTTCGAGTGCAGGCTGTTCCCGCGCCGGAGCCATGGAGGGCGGCGCGGCCCCCACCCCCCAGGGGCTTTCCCGCTGTCCCCACGCGCAGCCCTCGCTCCGTCTGCTTCCTCTGAGCCCTCAGCCCCTCCGACGGGGCTGCTCCGTGTGACCTGAGCCCGCGCTGCATCCCGGGGGCGGGCGCGGCGGGGACCCTGCAGGGCGCCTGTCCCTTCCCCGGGGAGCACGTCCCCACCTTCTGAGGTGGAGGGTTTTTCAATGCGGACGGGACTGTGGGCGCCAGGGACAGGCCGTCCCCCCACAGGCCGCCTGGTCTGCAGCACTCGGTCCTGCCTCCTCCCCTCGGGGGGCCTCTGCCGGGAGCCCACTGACCTTCCAAGCCTGACACGCGACGGGGGCTCGTGCTGGTGGCCGGAGGCAGGCCCAGCGGCCGAACTGGGAGTGTCTGGGCCGAGATTGGCTAATGCCGCCCGCTGCCCGTGAGAAAGGCACGCCAGCACCGCGGCCTCACTCGGGAACAGACGCCTCCACAGTCCGCAGGCCTGGGGGCCCCGCCCGCCCTGGCTGCCAGCACGGCCCTGAGTCTCCCTGTCCGCAGGTGCCCCCTCGGACCTGCGCATGGCCTGTGACCGCGCCAGGGTGCCCCTGCGGGCCGAGGAGCGCCCCGCGAGCGCGGCCAGCAAGGTAGTGGTGCCCTCCACGCCCTCCCTCCCCACACCGAGACCCCCCTCCCTGCACCCTCCCCCTGACCGCTGTCCGTGCCTCTCAAGTCCAAGAAGAGCGTGCTGGTGGCAGAGACGCCCTCCGCCGTCTTCCACTACTCGGACTGCGACCTGGACGAGACCGTCGCCAGCACCAAGACGGACGCCATCTTCCGTGCCGCCAAGAAGGACCTGATGACCCTGATGAAGCTGGATGTAGGTGCCCCCGCCCGCCCCCCCACCTGACCCCCACAGACCGGGCGGCGCCAGGACCTGCCGTGGAGCCTGCTGCCCGGCTCGGAGCCGCGTCCTCACTCGGCTTCGCAGGGAATCTCCTCCGAGTTGAGCCTGCAGGCTCCTGCCCCGCCTCCTGAGGCCTCGTGCAGAGGGAGTGACGGAATGACGTGTGCAGGGTCCCAGGAAGGGCCGGCACAGACCTCTGCTCGGGCCAGGGCTGCAGGCCGGCCTCCCACTGCCCCCCGCGGCCCCTCTGGGCTCTGTGCGCACTGGGTCCACAGCAGCGGGCGTTGGACGCGTTGCACGAGACGCCGGCTCGAGTCCCCTGTCCCTCAGGTCGCCAAGGTGTCCGCTGCACGTCTGGCGCGCTGCAGGCCACACTGATGTCCGCTGGGCGCCATCGCACGGTGGCGCCGGGTGCCAGGGTGCCAGGGCGGCCTCCGCTTGCACCGGCTGCTCCGAGCTCCTGTGCTGACTCCGGTTCTGTTCCCAGGACCCTTCGCTGTTGGACGGCCGCGTGACGTTCCTGCACGTCCCGGCCGGCACGGTGGTGTCCAAGCAGGGCGACCAGGTGAGCGGGAGGCCTGGCTCCGAGGGGGCGCTCACGGCGGGTCCCTCACCCCTGTCCCAGAGGGCTCTCCCGGGCTTGTCCTCTCGGGCTGGGCACGTGCCCGCCCTCCCACTACTCCCACCCCTCCCTTCGCTTTTGTCCCCCTCGGAGGAAAGAAGGGCTTTCCCCGTCCTCACAGGAGGCAGGCGCTGGCTCGCCTCCCGCACCCCGGGTCTGGGTCACCAGTGGGAAGCCCTCTCCAGGGCCTCTGCGCCCTCGGCCTGTCCCCCAGCTGCCCACTGGCCTGTGCCCACACGGCCTGTGCCCACACTGGCCAAGTCCATTTTGGTCTCTGGCCCTTCCTGCCCAGACCACAGGGACGAGGTCCGAGGGGGCAGGGTGAGCAGGTTTGGAAAGAGGTCTCGTGTGGACAGATAAGTTGGGGTTGGCGTGAGCGTGATTTCCCGTGTCGAGGTTGGACCCGAAGTGCCTGTGCTGGGGGGCAGGCAGGCACCTTGTCGGGGCCGCACTGACCGCCTGGCCTGGCCTGTCAGGACGTGAACGTGGTCTTCGTGGTCTCGGGGCTGCTGCACGTGTACCAGCGGAAGATCGACAGCGAGGAGGACAGCTGCCTGTTTGTGACGCGGCCCGGGGAGATGGTGGGCCAGCTGGCCGTGCTCACGGGCGAGCCCCTCATCTTCACCATCAGGGCCAACAGGGACTGCAGCTTCCTGTCCATCTCCAAGGCGAACTTCTACGAGTGAGTCCCGCCGGCCTCGCGCCCGCCCCCGGGCCCGTGCCCACGTGCTTCCCAGGCCCTGCCCTGGGGCTGAGGCGAACCCGCCGGGTGCCTGGTCGACACGCCAGCCCCTCCAGGCCCCGACGTGGGGGCAGCTGCTGGGACGCGTGGCCTGGCCCTGTGTGTCCTCCCGTGTGTGTCCGTGTCGAGTGTGTGTGTGCTCACTGCGTGAGCCCCTGATGCGGCAGCTCCCGCCCTGCAGCCGTGCCCACCTGCTGTCCCCCGGGGCCTCGTCCCCCCAGACTTCAAGCACCAAATCCCTTCTCCCCAGCCTCACTCCTGCGGCCCGGCTCGAGTGCCGGCGGGTGCTGGGCGGCCCCTGGCGGTGCAGGGGCTTCCACGCGGCCTCGGCAGAGCCCAGGTCCCCAGTTTGCTTGGCTCCTGCTTTTGAGATTGTCACTCCATCCGCCCACGGCTCGAGCTGTGTCCTGAGCCTCCCTGTCCAGCCAGTGCAGCCGTGAGCTGTGTGCTGCCCCCTCCCCACTGCCTTCCGGAGCCCCCACAGTGCAGAGGGGCCTGCTTCTGCCCTCAGCAGCCTGTGACACGGGGCAGCGGGGGGCAGGTGGACCATGTGCCCACGGAGCCTCTGGGTGCCCTGCCCCCCATCTTTGTGGCACATCGTGGGCAGGGCCCTGCCACCCGCAGCCGGATGGGCCTCGTGGTGTCTGTGCTCCAGGCAGCTGGGGAGGGGCTTCCCGGGCTCCCCCGAGGCTGCCGGCGGCCGGTCGCAAGGGCGGATGGGCAGGTGGAGGCTGTGCTCTGCGCTCCTCAGTGGGAGTCGTGGTTTGACAAGTGGGGCGCAGGTCCCGTGTCCTCTCGAGTGCCGGGCCTGGCGGGAGGGGCCTGCTGACTGGGCCGTCTCTGCAGAATCATGCGGAAGCAGCCGACCGTGGTCCTGGGCGTCGCGCACACGGTCGTGAAGCGCATGTCATCCTTCGTGCGGCAGATCGACTTCGCCCTGGACTGGATGGAGGTGGAGGCGGGGCGCGCCGTGTACAGGTGGGTGCGGGGTGCGGGGCTGCCTGAGGGTCCTGAGATGGGGCAGAGCTCGGGGTGGAGACTCCAGGTGTGGCTCCCCTGGGCTCCCGTGGGCCGTGCTCACCTGCCGGGCGGGCTGGGCCCTGTGCTCGCGCACACGGACGCTCAGCAGATCCACACCCGCCTGGCACGGCCCGCGGCGCCGGCAGCGCAGCATGTGTGCAGGTGCCGCTGGGCCCGGCGTCCAGTGCCTCGGCCGAGGGAGGGCTGAGTGCAGACTGGGTCACAGCGCCCACGTTTTGGCAGCTGTCAATCAGAACTAAGGACGCTTAGGACACTCACTGGCTGAAGTGTCGCCGTAGACCTGTCACGTGCTGGTGCACGTAGTCTTTCACGGAAAACAACTGTATTTCCCCAAACAAAAGGACTCCGTGAGAAGGCCCTTCTTTCCTTTGCTGTGGGGGGTGCGCGGGCTCCTGGCCGGTGCCCTGCCCGCTCCAGCGCCCCGTCCCTGCAGGCAGGGGGACAAGTCGGACTGCACCTACATCGTGCTCAGCGGCCGGCTGCGCTCCGTGATCCGCAAGGACGACCTCAAGAAGCGCCTGGCCGGGGAGTATGGCCGCGGAGACCTCATCGGCGTGGTAGGGCCGGGGTGCGGTCCCACTGGGTGCTGCCCTGGGTGCGGGGAGGAGCCCTCACTGGCATCAGGAGGGCGTGCGCCCCGTGGTTTTCCATTTTCGGGGCGGGTGTGCCCGCTCCCAGCCGGGCGGTGGCACTGGTGGAATCCCAGGGTCAAAGGTCTCCAGACCTTTGGGGCCAGCCGCTTGGCCTTTTCCTGGTGCCAACGGGCCTGGCTGAGGCGCCCTCCCCGGCGCGGCTGGTGAGCGCCTTTGCTCCCGTCCTCACCGGCTCCCACGTGCAGGAAGGCCGCCCCGCGCTCTGCCCTCTGTCCGGGCGCCGGGCAGCAGGTGTGAGCAGTGCTCCCCGCACCCCGCTCCCCGCTCCTCTCTCAGGTGGAGACGCTCACCCGCCAGCCCCGAGCGACCACGGTGCACGCCGTCCGGGACTCGGAGCTCGCCAAGCTGCCGGCGGGAGCCCTGACGTCCATCAAGCGCAGGTACCCGCAGGTGAGGGTCTGAGCCGGAGCAGGGCAGCCAGGGGCAGGTGTCTGAACAGGTCCAGCTGATCCTAATATGCACCCTGGATGAAACCTTCTGCACCTGGGAGGCTGCTGCTTCCGGACACGGCGCCCGCTAAACAGTTCAACAGCTGAGACTGCGGGCGCGTTTGGAAAAGGGGTAAAATGTTTGCAGGTAATGTGCCTGTTTTACTAGAAAACTGAAGCGGCAGCTGAGTGTTTAGAAGAGAGACTGGCAGGTCGTGTGGGTTGGATCGGCGTTTCCGTCCTTCCCGCCAGGGAGATGGGAGTGGAGCAGCCCCGCTAAATCCTGCCCCGGCCGGGGTGGCCCAGTGGCTAGAGCGTCAGCCTGTGGCCTGCAGGGTCCCGGGTTCGATTCCAGTCAAGGGCACCCACCTTGCTTGCAGGCTCCTCCCTGGCCTGGGCCCTGGTCGGGGTGCGTGCAGGAGGCACCCATTGACGTGTTTCTCTCACGTCGATGTTTCTGTCTTTCCCTCTCTCTCCCACTCTCCCTAACAATCAGTGGAGAGAATACCTGTGGGTGAGGAGTAAATACACATATGTACACGTGTGTGCGTGTGCATCGCAGAGTTCTTACAAGTCAGGTCAGCCGGAAGCTCTGCCCGCAGGGGAGTGCAGCGCAGAGGCTGCTGGTCCGTGTGGCAGCCCCTGCCATCCCAGGCCCGGGCTCCCCCGGGGGACCCAGGAGCAGCCGCCCCCGAGTGACTGACGGGCGGGCACGGACACAGGGAGACACTGGGCAGAGGGACCGAGCGGTGGCATGAGCTCTCGTCACGCCCACCATCACCCGTGGCCTGGCGCGTCCAGCCTGGCGCCTTGGGAAACACGGACCCAGGGACGTGGCCTGTTGGCTGAAAGGTGTGGTTTGGGGTCTGCTCTCCACCAGGTCGTGACCCGGCTGATCCACCTGCTGGGGGAGAAGATCCTGGGCAGCCTGCAGCAGGGCCCTGCGACCAGTGAGTCCCCGCGGGCGCTCGGCCTCCCGCCGCCCCCCTGCACCGGGCCCTCAGCCCTGCCCTCTACCCAGCCTCCCCCGCAGCGGGCAGGGCTGCATCCCAGACCTGGAGGCTTCCTTCTCCGCCCTCTCTGACCTCCCCTCAGTGGGGGTGCCGCCTCTGCTGGCTCAGGGCATAGAGAGTTGGGGTCCACCTCACACTCACGGTGGGTGTCTGCTTAGTGCTGGGGACCCCGGGAGGATCTCCCTGGAGGCAGCACCCAGTGGGGAGGGGCGGGATGGAGCCCACCTGCCTGGAGCCGGCGGGGGCAGGGCCCCTGCTGACTGGCCCTCAGGAGGGTGGTCTCCCCAGGGCCCAGGACCCCTAGCCGGGCTTTTCTCCCCTGGCCTTTCTGCGGGCTGTGCCTTACGAGCGTGGGAGTGCCCCCCCCCTCCCGTGGCCAGGACAAGACCTTCCACGTGCCTTAGAGGCGACAGTGCCTGCGCAAAACTAGCAGGCTCTGCTCTCTCCCTTCTCTCGAGGATATGGTACTCAGGGGTCACCCGGAAGAAGGGAGAAAGGGAACCCCACGGTTTCTTGCTTTGTTCTTCCCTCTCCCCTCTGTGGGCCGAGCCCTGATGTGAGATGTGGGTGCAGTGGCCTGGCGTCCCAGCAGCGGGAAAGCCAGCTGAGGGCAAGGGTGGAGGCGTCCCGGTGCCTGCTGCTGGCGCCAGCATGTCTTCCAGAAACAACTGGTGACACCTGGAGAGTCAGGGGTGGCCACCCCCTTGGGCCGACCCACGACCCCCCGCTTCCAGGTCACCAGTTCGGGCTGCACTCCACCGGCAGCAAGTGGGACTCGGGGAACCCGGCCAGCAACCCTGTCCACGGTGGCTGTCATGCCCGTGTCGGAGGACGTGCCCCTCACCGCCTTCGCCCTGGAGCTCAAGCACGCCCTCAGCGCCATCGGTGAGCCCCCCCTCCTCCCCCACTGGGCCCTCGGGTGCTTCCGCGGGTGCCGTGGTGGCGGGGCTGCGGGGCCGCCTGGAGCCGGGGCTGGGCTGCCCCAGGGACTCTGGCCTCTTCACCTGCCATGGGCCTCCGTCTCCTGTTCGCGTGTAAACCTGTGGTCTGCGTGGGGCCTGGCTTTTGTGTGAAGTGGGACCTATAGGTAGTGGTTGGTTTTCCTCTGCACGTGGAGGCCAGCGAAAGAGGCTCCCTCCCCGTGGCACGGCCTCGCCCCGGCGGGCTGGCAGCGACGTCCACAAGGCTCATCCCAGCTCGCTGGCCCTGGCCCTGGCCCCGGCCCCCACGCCTGTCCTGAGCCGGCCCCTCACCGTCTTCACGAGGCAGCTTTGCAGCAAGTGGTCAAACCAGGAGAGCGGAGCGCTCGGCTTTGCGGTTCCAAGGTGGTTTGGACCCTTCAGGGCCCGAGACCCCTGGGAGTTGGGACGAGCGTGTCCAGTTCTGTGAGAACCTGGCGGTCTGGCGGGTGCGCTGGCTCCATCGCTCCGTGTGCTGACACCCTGACCGGACCCTTCCCGCCCAGCAGCACGGACGCGCGTCCACTTAGGAGCATCTTGACTTTCCTCAGCAGCGTCGATAGTTTCACGGCGAGTCCTCGTTAAGTTTATTCCAAAGTCCGGACTGGCTCTGGTGCTGCTGTCAGTGGAGGGCTGGTATAATCCCTTCAGAGTGCTCACTGACAGCGAGAGGAACCGCTGCCTGTGCTGCTGGACCCTGCAGCCTCGCGGAAGGTGCTCATTCCACCCGCTTCTGAGTGTGTGTGTGTGTGGGTGGAACCGACGGGGGTCGCCGCCGCTTCCTCTCGTGCGGATGTCCGTCACACCCATTCGGGTCCTGATGGCGCTGAGCAGAGCCGTGTTGGACAGCGGTGGTGGAACCAGACATCCCCACCTTGTCCTGACCTTGGGGGAGCCCGAGGTCCACCCCAGTGTGAGGGTCGTGGCCTGCAGTGTGTTGAAGGCTTTCTGCACGTAGTTTACTGGGGGTGTTTATTGTGCAAAGAGGTTGACTTTTGCCAGTGCCTTTTCTGCATCAGCTGAAATGGTGGTGTGTTTCCCTTCGTCCTGTTAATGTGATGAGTCCTTTGAAGGACAGTCCTGTGTTGAGCCGTCCTTGCATTCCGGGGACAAACCCCAGGGGCTGTGGTGTCAGGCCTTTAACAGGCCGCTGGCCTGGTTCGCTGGCCTCCCGTTGATGTTGATGAAGGTCATGGTCTGCAGCTTTCTCCTGCTGACGTGGTCTCCTGGGCTTTGGCATCAGGAGTGCTGGCCCCGGAGTGAGAAAGCACCCTCCTCCGTTGTTTTACGAGAGTTTGAGGAGGAGGGTGTCAATTCTTTAAATGTTTGATAGAACCTCCAGCGAAGCTGTCTCGTCCAGGGCTCTCCTTTCTCGGTTATTGTTGTTGTTATTACTGATCCAATCTTTCCATATTTCTTCATGAATCCGTCTTGGTAGGTCTTGTGTTTCCAGAAATTCCTCCGTTTCATCTCGATCGTCCACCTTGTTGCTGTGCAGTTGCTCACAGTGCTCCTTGCGCTCCCGTTCGTTTCTGTGAAGTGAGTAATGTCCCACCGCTCTTCATTTCAGCGACTTGCATCTTTTTATTCTTTATTCATTTGCTAAGGGCTCGTCAGTTTTGTTAATTCTTTCAAAGAACCAACTTTTGCGTTTATCTCCTTCTCTATTTTAGTGACCTCTGTCCTGATCTTTATTTTTTCTTCCCTCCTGTCAGCTCTGGGTTTAGTTAATACTCTCTCCTCGTTCCTCGAGGCCTGGAGCCGGTTGCTGGCTGAGGCCGCCTTTGTGACGTCACGTTGGCGCTGTGACCCGCCCGCGCTGCCCGTGCTGGTCCCTGCGTTTGGGACCCCGTGTTTCCTTTTTCACGTGGCTCGCGACTGTCCGCCTTCCCTGTGACGGCTCTCCCCACGGGGTGTGAGCGGTTATTTCCACGTGTTGCGAGTTTTCCTGCTGTTACTGAGGTCCCGTTTCACACCTTGTGATCAGGAAAGACACTACGATTTCGCCTTTTAAAGTTTTACTCGACGTGTTTTGTGGCGCGACCTGGGCTGGCCCTGGAGCGGGTCCTGTGTGCCTAGAGCGCGTGTTCCGTGTCGGTCTTTCCACGCGTGTGGTAGTGAGTGTGCCGCCGCCTCGCTAGGGCTGGAGTATGCATTCCGCCTGACGGAGAAGCTGGCTCGTGATTGGCCGTCAGGTGCCCCCTCTGTCAGTGCCTGTCCGGTCACCCCCTTCCCGGGCTGTCACTCCTCCTGCGAGGGCGGTGGCGGGGGCGGGGTTCTCCCTGTGGTTGCACACGCATCCATGGTGGGTGCAGAAACTGCAGATGCCTTCCCTCTAATCGGTGCCTTTCTTATCTTCATGACGTGTTTTGACGAACAGAAGGTCTTCAATCTAACGTAGACCGATTCATAACTCTCTCCTGTATTGTTGTTGCTTTTGCTTTTTTACTTTAAGACATTTTTATTTTTGCCCCCAAATCATTGACGATGTTTCTTTTAAACACAGTCCCATCTGGGCCCTGGGTTCTGGGTTCTGGTTCTGGGTTCTTGATATGAGGTGGGAATCCAAGAATTGATTTTTGCCCTGTTGGGGTCTTCAGCCCGACCCAGAACCCCTCACTTGACGAGTAGAAAGACCGAGCTCTGCCCCGCAGTCCATGGCGACGCCTTTCGCCGAAAAGGCAGGGCAATGTTTGGTGGAAGGTTCGCCCCTCACTCCCTCAAGGGCGTTTCTTGCCTGAGTGGGGTTTAAGGCTTGACAGTCTGACCCTAGCCCTTCCCTTCGGTCCTGCCCCTGGCCC